ACTTAAACACGTGTGAATGAAACAAAAACACAACTCCAGGTCTGTTTTTGATGAGGTATTATGACTTTATGACATGGATTAAAGCTAGATTAAAGAGTCGATTTTGTGTAATATAGGACATTTAACAAATACTAATGCATATATTGTTGGGTCACTTCTTGCATGACCAGATTTAATAACCTCTGGGTGTCATTTGAATCCTTACGCCTCTTTATTTGTGTCTCCCCTTAACCCTCTCTCCACTTCCAACAGCACGTCCTTCTTACCTATAGCATCTTTACCCCGGCCATGTCTCACCAGAGCCTTTAGGGACCACAGTGCTAAAAGTGCTCTATCTCTCTCACGTACACACACACACACACACACACACACACTCCACCCAGGGGCTAGCACCAACATAAGAAACCAATTTTCAATTTACAGTGAAGTCTAGTGCCCCCAGCAAGAACTATCTCCCAATGCAATCTGGAGGAAGAAAGACTTGACAGCAGTCGAGTTTTGTGTATTAGAGCGCTGATGGGCCAGTGCGAAAAGATACAGACAGATTTGTGGGCAAAAATTGGCAAGGGAAACCCCAGCTGAGCAAAAGGTGATAGGTGATTAAATATTAATATTGGCTTATGTTGATATAAGAGCGCCTCAAGCCAAAAAAAAAAAAAAAAAAACTGCAGATATTAAATTGTGAAGTCCATTTTTTTTTTTTTTTTTTTCGAGTGGGCCCCATCTATTTTCTGGCACTTGTTACCTGCGTCTACTCTCTCACCAGGGTTCGGTGTCTAAGGCAGTAAACAATCCCACTGGTTACGGTTTGGTAATGGAGCTAAGAGGGGAGCTGGACGCGAGCCGAGGCCCAACAAGGCAACCCGACACTGGGATGAAGTTGGCACAGTAAGGCCCCCCTCTGGTCCCTCACCTCCAGGACTGGCAGCTTGGGTTTAATGATGTCTATGTCTCCTTTACATGTAGGAGTTTTGAGGATAGTGTACAGTTTGTTCAAATATAAAAAGAAAGAAGTATTTTTTGTGCATAAAACAAAAAAAAAATAGGCTGTGTATTTGCAAATGAATGCCTCACCTCACTATGGAATGATCTACAGCACAGGTGTCAAACATAAGGCCCGGGGGCCAGATCCGGCCCTCCAAGACCTTTAATCTGGCCCTCAGCTGATTTTCTACTAAAATATTGTAATTATATTTTCTATAAAAATCTTGTTAATTTTCTGTGGTGTTTATCACAGCAGCGTCTCCAGCGTCTCTGTACGTGGCCCCTCCCACCAGAGCAGCACAAATGAAGACTTGTCTCTTTCCAAACGCTCTTAAAGGACGATCGTTTTGACTGTTGACCGTGACACCCTCATCAGAAAAATGTCCAAAATGAGAAAAGTGGAGCCGAGTGCAGGATTTTCCAAGAAAAATTGACGTATTCCTATTTACATACAAGTTCATGTTAAAACTTTGTGTTGAAATTGTATTTTTCTTAAAGTTTCCGGTTGTTCATAATATTATAATATTTTGTGAAAGAGTTCATCTGTTAAAAAAGATTTCTGTAATAGATTTGTGTTTCTCTGCACAAATATTTAAACCTATTGTTATTTTTGGGGTTTATATGCTGTGAGTTTCTGATCCGGCCCCTTTGAGATCAAAGTAGGTTGGATACGGCCCCCGGACCAAAATGAGTTTGACACCCCTGATCTACAGTATGATATTAAACAGCTCTACCTTACATTTATTAATTTACAGGTGATTTTATAGCTCAAGAACACCTTGAAAAACAGGCATTTGGTCTACATGAAGATAGAAAAGTTTAATACCAACAACAAAAGTTACACAATACACCTTTAGCTGGTATCTCTACACAGCAAAAACAAGAGGGTAAAAATTTTAGAGTAAAATATTTCAGAGTTGTTTTTAACACCATTATTTTAACAATTTGAAAGTTAAATGGGGGTTTGAGTTGGGGTTATTTGTCAGAGTTAATGTGGCTGAGGTTAATTCAACTTTTCTTAGTGTTAATTTGGCTCCTCCCATTCACCACTTCAAACTCTTGTGAGAGAAGAGCAGTTTGAACCAGTTTTGTTCATAATTTCATCTTAAATGAACTAAAATAAAGTAAAAATAAAATAAAACGCCTCTGTGTGTTGTTTGGCTAAATCAGAATAACTCTTAAAACATTAATATAACTCTTGATTTCGGGGTTAAGCGGGAACTGTGGTCCAGTGTTACTTAAAGGTTGTATAGAGGATTTTTTTAAGGGAAGAGAAATACAGCGACAGTCCTTGTGCGCATTCAGAATTACTGTTGAAGTTTCCTGTCTAGAAGTAATTCAGCGACCGACGCGTCAGTTTTTAGACCCTTCGTCTGCTTCGGTCGCGCCATCGCTTTACGAGATCTCCAAGAATCACCTCAGTTTGGCATTGCTCCTTTTCCTCTTCTCTTCTTCTTTCAGCGACCTCAAAAACGGACTTTCTTTTGCGGCGAACCGGTCGTGGATTCTCGTCCGCCGTCGCGACAAACTTTGTGCGAAATGCGAGGAAGCGACAGTTCGAAAAAGCCTCTAAGAACCGCTGCGTAAACCCCGTAATCCCCGCGCTCTGATGAATCAGTTATACTAGGGAGTTTGATTGACAACCTAACAGCCAATAGAAAATGAGGGAGCCTCGTTTTCTATTGGCTGATGTTTATCTGGCCTCAACACGTCCACAGTTGAGTTTTTTTTTTGTTATCATAATTACAAAGCTGCTGCGTCTCTGTAATGGTATTTTAATCTTTGACAGTTTGAAACAAAAAACTCAAAAGACTCATGTAAACGCTGAGAAAATGTTAAAGTTGATTCTGTGAGAGTCAATTTTAACACTCCCCTTTTTGCCGTGTACAACAAACCTTATCAAACTCATCATTTTTAATTCAGCAAGTTCCCAAACACTTTTCTAACACTGTCATTTTCCAAGATGGCATGGTGTAGATATTTGCTCGTTAATCTAAAAGCTGGTGGTTCCATGGTGGTTCTTTAACTACTAATGCAAGACACTAGACCCTAGACCTGCCTTAGCCTGATTCATCACCTCGCAGTATTAGGATTCGTTCGCTCGATGGTAGGCGGGTAGTTTTTTTATTTAACCAGTCGCTGCTGTTTGGTTGTGACGTATGTAATGCGCCAAAGGAAGAAGGGCAATAACGTCTTTCCCCTTGATAAAATTCACCAAACATTCTCTTTGTTCCGGCTTTAAATCCTCGATCTCGGGAATCGTTGCCAACACAGAATGCCTGTCTTCGTCTACATCCATCTCGACCGCTTCGGGACCCAGACAGGCGCTTGAGTTTGACATCATGGCTTCACAATTCTTCGCTGATTGGCCAGTGCGCGGTCTACAACTTTTTTGCAAATCGTCTAGTGTATTCCGATTCCTGACCTAGTCGCTGGAGAGAAATGAAACTGAGCGGAGGCACTAGGGGACTAGACCTGCCTTGCCTTTATTGTCCATGTTGGTGTGTGAATGTGAGTGAATGTTGTCTTTATCTAAAATAGTTTCTATATTATTGCGAACAGGGTCGTCAAAAGTATACAAAAATCAGATACGAATCGATACTAAAACTAGAATTGAAATTAGATATTCGTTTAAGCAGGTATCAATACTAAAAAAGTCGCGGAAATGAACCTTTGCTCAAGGTTTAGAATGATCTTGAGATGGATCAGAACAAATATAAGAGCACATAGACTAGTACCACTGAGGGATACACAAATATAAAACCATCTTGTACTACAAAAGAAAGTACTATTATTTAATACTGAAAATCACATTCTGTTTTCTAAAGGAGACCTGGGCATTGTACAGCTCCTGGGCCACATTTGGTTGACTTTGACCGGCTCATTTAAGCTCATTTGGAATTACCGTATTTTCCGGGCTATTAGGCGCAACTGGATTATAAGGCGCACTGTCATTAAATGGTCTATTTTCAAACTTTTTTCACAAATAAACCGCACCAGACTTTAAAGGAAACACAAGAGTTCGATCGGTCAGTGGGACTTTGTTTGTGGCGTTCACAGTGACTCTGGGCTTTGTTCAGTTGTGTCTAGAAGTGGCACATTGGACTCGCTTTTTCGGTTCGTTCCTCCGTTCCGTTCCTCGTCGGCGTGGAGCGATGAGTGTGGCTGCGGGTGTTTTTCGCTGCGCGTTCTCTGTCTGCTCCGTGTGTGTTTGCGTGCGCTGCGGGTGGTGCGGCTTTGTAGTTTACTGAAGTCGTGCTGGGACACCCGAGTGGATTCGTGTACGGGGCGCTCTGAATTGCGGGGCGCGGTCGTTTTTTTGATGGGGTTAGAGGCTTAAGAGCTCGTCTAATAGCCCGGAAAATACGGTACAAAATAATTTTACCTCATGCACGGACTAAAAGTGCATAGCTTTTATTTTAGAGGTGTTTTTTAAATGACATTTTTTTGTAAGAGCCTCACTTTTTCATTGCTTAATCACAACATAAACTCTTACCAGCTTTTTATAAAGAAATACAATGAATATTTTGAAGAATTGAGTTCAGCATTTTGGTCCAGTCCTCTCAGTATTTTCTGTTTTTTCATGTGGCCCTGTGGGAAAAATAACGGCCCACCCCTGGTCTTTTTGTTATCATTGTGGTTTCCGAATCAGTATTGAGTATCGAGTTTATATACAATATTCCCTTCGAATCAAAATCAAAACCGTGACCATTTACAATTTGCTTTAGAACTAGGACAAATGTTTTCTTCCTTTCGCAGAATAGTCAGCATCTGTGTAACCTCGCTGTTCTGAGTTCGGAGTTGTGAATTGCCGTTCTAACAAAGGCCTATTGATAGACCACATTCACGTCTATTCCCGTGGGGACCGCATGACCTTCTAGCTTTTTGATAGGGAGCGCGAACACGGCTTTCCAATACACTGCAGAGACGATGATTTGAAGCACTTGTATGAAGTCGGCGTATAGGTCGATACGGGTCTGAAAGAGGGGTCTGAAGAGGGTTATATCTGTACTTACATGTTATGGAGCACACACCAGCCACAGTGGGGGTCCCCGGAGCCCAAACACTCACTGCAGGTGGAGTACTGACCACACGCTTCCACTGGTACTCTGGACAACTGCAAAGAGAAGAGGAACAATAACACATGGATTATTATAGCAGATAGAGAACAGTGACTTAACATACTGTGAGAGATGTCTGTGTAATTCATAGCAAAATATAGTTTAAATTGTAACCGGACCAAAAAAATTACAGTATATATTTCACTGCTCATCCAAGTGTATCGTTCGTTCATTTTTCAAAATAAAACCAAAAATAAGAAAATGAAAAAAACAACTATTTTCTTCATTATTTGTCTCCAAAACCAAAATGAATAAATGGTTTTGTTTTTGGATTTATTTATTTATATATATATTTTTTTCAGTTTTCAATTTTGTGTTTAAATGAATAATGGAAAAAAAATGGATAACGTGAGTTAAACTGCGCCGCATACGGACTAAACCAGGACTAAACAAGGACTAAAACAGGATTGAACCAGGACTAAACCAGGAATAAACCGGGAATAAACCGGGAATAAACCAGAACTGACCCAGGACTAAACTAGGTCCCGGTCTAAGTCCCAGTCTGGTCCCAGTCTGGGTCTGATCTCAGTCCTGGTCTCAGTTCCGGTCTCAGTCCTGGTCCTGGTTTCAGTCCCGGTCTGGTCACGATCGCAGTTACGGTCTCAGTCCTGGTCCTAGGTCTGGTCCCAGTCTCAGTCCCAGTCTCAGTCCCGGTCTCAGTCCTGGTCCTGGTCTCAGTCCCGGTTTGGTCACGATCTCAGTCCCAGTCTCAGTCCTGGTCCTAGGTCTGGTCCCAGTCTCAGTCCTGGTCCTAGGTCTGATCCTAGGTCTTGTCCCAGGTCTGGTCCCAGACTCAGTCCCGGTCTCAGTCCCAGTCTCAGTCTCAGTCCCGGTCTCAGTCCTGGTCCTGGTCTCAGTCCCGGTTTGGTCACGATCTCAGTCCCAGTCTCAGTCCTGGTCCTAGGTCTGGTCCCAGTCTCAGTCCCGGTCTCAGTCCTGGTCCTAGGTCTGATCCTAGGTCTTGTCCTAGGTCTGGTCCTAGGTCTGGTCCCAGGTCTGGTCCCAGACTCAGTCCCGGTCTGGTCACGATCTCAGTCCTGGTCCTAGGTCTGGTCCTAGGTCTTGTCCCAGTCTCAATCCTGGTCTGGTCCAGGTTTACATCCTGGTCTAATCATGGTCTCAGTCCTGATTCAGTCCGTATGCGGCGCAAAAGTCCGGCATCGCAGTTTAAGTCATGGAAACGGGAAATGGTCGTTACCCGTTTTTTTCCATTATTCATTTAAACACAAAATCGAAAAATGAAAAAACGAATCTTTATCCGTTTTTTCATTTTGGTTTTGGAGACAAATAATGAAGAAAATAGTTGCTTTTTCATTTTCTTATTTTTAGTTTTATTTTGAAAAGCGAATGAATGAATGACACATGGATCCCAGTGCCTTACAGAGCCTGGAAACCCGATCCAACCTGACGAGTTTGGACGGGTTTGGACAAATATTTAGAACTTATGATCTGGCTCGGGTCGGACTCGGACTCATCAATGTGCCACTCGCTTTGAGACTCTTAACTGCACTTCTAGTTTAGACACAAGTCAAAACTGTGCTGCTATTATTTGTGAAATGTGAAGTGACCACCACCCGCTGGATTTGGAAGAACATTTTCCATTTTCCATTCATTTTTTCCCCATCAACTTTCCAATAAAAAATGTAAAGTTGGAAAGCTTGCACAGGTTTAGTCAGCTATATGATAACAAATGACCACACAACCTATAATTTTATGTAAGATTTGCTCCTGAGACTTACAAAATGTATAAATAGTTAAATTTATTAACACATTTCGCTGAGTCTTGTGTTTTAAACGAGCTTTTTGGAGTGTTTATTAGATACCACGTAGCTGATTAACTTCCACTGTGCCTTTAGACTCTTATATTTGAAGTATATATATAAAATGGATAAAGATATTTGTATAAAAAAAAAAAAGGATGGAAAATTTACTTGTGAAACCATTAGAGTTACCGTTTGAGTATTTGAGTAACATCATTGACTTATTCTTTCACTTTCAGCACTTGCAATACTAATTATTGCTCTGACATAACTAGACCACTTCCACCGATGACGCAAAAAAACATCCCAACACAAACCCATGTGGCTTTCCAAATGTCGTGATAAAGTATGTTTTTACAACCGCCGAAGCGTGCGAGCCTGAATGTGCATAACCCTAATGGCTCCATATGGGGACAGCCACCAGGGACAGAGCTCCATTTATGATGATGTATAACCCTGCCAACGCAGACTGGCACTGACTGGCACTGATTGGCACGGGCCTCAGTGACCAGGCACAAGGGACCAGGAGAACTACACTGTAAAAAAATAAATAAATAAAACATATCTACAGTAGTTCAAATTACTTCTGAAAATGTGTCTTGGTTTGAGTAGTTTTGGTGCCACTTAGCTTTAAAAATACACCTTCGCTAGAATTATTTGGATCATTTCCGCCCTGGAATTGCCAATATCTACTCAACTAAAAGGTAAAAGGAGCTTTTAACTTGAAAACTACCACTTCATGACATCACAAGGTGGAAAAGAGCATTCTGATAGTAAATATGACTCAAACACAACTCCAGGTGTAAAGGTGCAAAAAACCCAAGGCACTCACTGGTTAAAATAAAATGCCTTTATTAATTTACGGCATGTTTTAATAGACAATTTACAAAATCCCGACGCATTTCATCCTATGGTTTTTCTCAAGGGACAAACAGAATTGAGAGCAAACCATTTGAATTAAATACCGTATTTTCCGGGCTATCGGGAGCGCTCTTAAGCCTCCATCCCCATTAAAAAACGACCTCGCCCCACAGTCCAGAGAGCCCTATACACGAATCCACTCGGGTGTCCCAACACGACTTCAGTAAACTACAAAGCCGCACCACCCGCAGCGCACGCAAACACGCACGGAGCAGACAGCGACCGCATGACGAAAAACACCCACAGTCACACTCATCGCCGACGAGGAACGGAACGAAGGAACGAACCGAAAAAGCGAGTGCAATGTGCCACTTCTAGACACGACTGAACAACTGAGTCACTGCGAACACGCCGACAATCCAGCGGTCCCAGACAGCACCCTCCCTACACGCCACAACTGAACAAAGCCCAGAGTCACCGTGAACGCGCCAAACAAAGTCCAACTGACCCATTCAACTGTTGTGTTTCATTTAAAGTCCAGGGCGGTTTACATGTGAAAAAAGTTCGAAAATAGACCGTTCAATGACAGTGCGCCTTATAATCCAGAAGCGCCTAATAGCCCTGAAAATATGGTACAAGAAACCCACCAATAGGGCTGCTCCACCTGGAAAAGGAGGAGTGGAGATTCACCTGTGGGCATCACCTAATAACGCCGCAAGATGGCAGTGTTAAAACTGTGGGACGTCATAGGGTATATAAAAACTCAGTATGTATAAAAATATATAAAATATATGCAAAAAATACCATTCAGTTCTAAAAAAACACAGCGAAGTCCAAATCTTCATTGAGCCCCGGATATTTTTTTGCCTGTAATTTATAAATCCAGCAGGTTTCACACTGTTTTGAGTTTTGTAAAGAGTCTGGTATGTGATCAAACTCCAGGTATGTTTTTGTTTTGACAGTAACATCATTATAAAGTGGACAAAAGCTCACAAGTGCCAATATTGTGTAAAAAAAAGAAAGGTTAATTTGTTATTTGTTAAAGATAATTTTGCTTTAAATAGGTAGAATTATTAAACCTATAGTCCAAGAAACAAAAGAGGGAAAAATCACTTATAATTTAATAGACACTAAAGAATAGGAGTGTGCAAAAATATTGAAATATTGTATTGTTTAATATGATGATACAGTATCGATCTTTTAGAGTATATTTTTGGTGTATTTTACTAAATTATTTTGTTACAGTGCTACAGTTTTGTTGCTTGTTCAGAGGAAGGAAACTCATTTATACGACACATTTGATATTTTCACTGTTTTGATGATAAAACTGTTTGTGTTTCGTATGAACTTTGCACAAGAAGTGGTTTAACGAAGACTTTTAGTATCACAGCCAAGATTTAGCCTTTATTTTTTATTGAACCGTATCAAATTGATTTGAACTATATCGTATCGAATCGAAAGTGTGCTGTATCGAGATATGTATCGTATCATGGCCTATGTATCGAGGTATGTATCGTATCGGCAACTTCTTAATGATACCCAGCCTTACCAAAAACGCTAAATGAGTAAACTAAAAATACAGTAAAATAATCCTCCTCATGATCAATAAACACATCTTAAGATTTGAAGAAGGGTCACATGCATTTTTAGTCTTCAAATTTGTCAAATCCACACAAAAAAATACTCAAAACATCAAAATAAACGTCAACATTCTAAAATAATTTCATTCCATGTTATGTACGCTAGATGTATTTTGTTCTCTTTTTTTTCCCAGTGTAAATCCTAACCGGGTCCCCGTTCCCGTCGTCATGGAAACAGCATGGTGCCATAATAGGAGTCACTGTGGCACTTTTGATTAATGAGGCTTCGGCTGTGGATGACCGCTGTCACTCAGAGCGCTCAGGGCTGACAGGCGAGACAGACACGAGACAGGGCCATATGGGGCTCATACTGGGGTCGCCATGGAGACGCACTCAACTATTGTTATGTACACTGCAAAAACACACAGCAACATATACGACTTAAAATGAATGAGTTAAGCATGTTTGTATAATTTTGCATTCTTCTTGTACTGATATTTTTGCACTCTTCATTTGCCCATACTGTATATTTTGTATATATCCAGTAAAAGTGTATACCGTATTTTTTGGACTATAAGGCGCACTTAAAATCCATACATTTTCTCAAGAATCAACAGAGTGCCTTATAATCCTTATGTATTAATTCTGGTTGTGCTTACTGACCTCAAACCGATTTTATGGCGCACAAAAATCTGTCAAAATGTGCGACTTTGGTAAACTACAAAGCCGCACCGCTTGATGGACTGTCGGAGCATTACGTCTATCATAGTCAGGAGCCTTATAGTTTATGCAAAT